AAGATGGTATATTTACATACACATCATGTGATCAAACTCCAAAATCTGCTTCGGGTATTCAGAAGCATTTCGTGGAGCACAATTTATTGTGTTTTTAATATAAGATGTCAAATGTCTGATTTTATATAATAATCCTGTCCCTAGTTTTATTTATTCACTTACTTACACCCGTTACCCACAACGGAGCATAGGCCGCCGACCAGTTTTCGCCAACCTATTCTGCCCTAGGCCTCCGTTTCCAGTTCTGTCCAGTTTCTGTTCATTTTCTTCATGTCCGTCTCTATTTCTCGGCGCAGTGTGTTCCTTGTCCTTCCTCCTTTCCTCTGATTCGAAGGCACCTATGATCGAATACCAGTAACCTACGAATTTCCTCTCTCTCCAACCGTAGCTGCTACCTTAATGTGATGGTCGCAATCATCCAGCCGAGCCTTATTGGCTGAAGCGCCTATTCTCTTGGGTCTCACCATTTCAGGCAGGTCGGTTGGAGAACGATAAGACTAAAAATAGCAACTTAAGGTCTGAGGGAAAAGTTGTACTGCTAACTATAAAGAGGTGTGATAGCAGTAAGGTGTTTGCCTCGGACAACTAGCTTTTACGGTGATGCCTCCTTCTAACAACGGAAGGAAGGGGTTAGGAAAGGTTGACCCAAAAAATGTGACACCTAATTTTATCTCTTTAACCGTGTTGGTTGTTACGGGGGAAATAGTTTTTTACACCTTTGAAATAAACAGTTTATTGAGAGTCAGTGCTTTTGATGCAACTGATAAAAGACATTCTAACGGTCGCTGTGTACGTCGGGTTGGCAATTTTTAAAGATCTCTGTGACAATATAAGTTTGAAATACCAATCGAGACTTAAGCACAAGAAGAAGATTTGACGAAAAGGTCCTTTTTTCGCGTGAATTCGTTCTCAAAGCTGTACATTCCTCGAATATATACTTTTTCACAACGGTAATAATTAAGCTACTTATTGCTAATAACTGGGATTCATTCAGTTGAGTAACAGAAAAAGCAAGATAAACGAAACCACGAAAAAATGTCATACTTTCTCTGTAAACTGAAAATTCAGTTGTTAAGACATTGAATATTCATCAAGAATGTCAAAGTAGTTCAATAGTCATTAATAGTTTTAAAAATTTATTGCACAATATGGAATGAAATTGAGACGATCTGTAGTCAGGAAAGATTTGGAAACATATGTAAATCGGTTAAGGGTTTCTAAGGTAGACAGAAAAACAGTGAGGAGGAGGTTGATAACTTTCAAAGACTGACTATATGCCACAATCATGGTTGAACAAGTTTCCCTTGTATGAATAATCCCTAATGTTCTAAGTAAAAGGTGAATACTTTAAAAATGATCACGTTGTAGGAACCGGCGCTCTCATTATATTTTTTCGTATAACATCATTGAACTGCCTGGAACGACCTATATTCCTAGTTCTAGTGATCAAATGGTTGAAATAGTGTTAGGATATTCACCCAGTATCCTAAGAGAATTATTGGTTAATTCCTACTGGTCAATTTCATGGTCGTCCGAGATATCAATGTCATGTACTCCAATGTTGTTTCCCATTGGTCGTCCCAACAGTCAATGTGACAGACTTCAGTGTCGTTTCCTATTCAACCTAAATGTATAAATACTCATTATCTGTAACGTTTTATGGACCGGACCGGGATTCTTAGTACGGTATCCTTATTCTCTTCTTGACTTGTACTTTCTGGATGCTTGTGGAATACAGGTTCTACTTCATATTAAGTCTTCTTCTTTTACTCAGTGCGGGGGGGGTGGTTGGGACACTCGGATTAGAGTAGCATTTTATGTCACCGGATACTCGCTCTCGTTTTCCGACTAAATTAAACTTCGTAATAGTTCAAGCATATCAAACTGACATGTTTACGTTCATGCGTAACAAATAATGAGTGCTGTGATTTATTGTTCAGATTATTGATGAACATAGATTAACTAAAGAAAATTAGCCTTAATGTGATTAGAGTGTACTTTTGATACAGGTGAAAATCCTTATCTTTCATATATTTTCACTTAGTCGCCTTTTAAATCGAAAGCATTTTATATATCATAAAGGTTATTGACTCTCATTAAGATTTAAGTTTTAAATTTATTTGTTCACAAATTTTAATGGATATTCTTTTTTTGATAAGTATTTCTCTTTGAAGGCTTAATTTTTTCTTTGCTCAAAACTGTAGATTTGTTGGAAATATCAGTGACTTCATTTCATAGTGATTCAGTACCCCCCACACACGTATAGTTGACATATTCGATATAGTCGGCTTGATAGAATATCATCGAAAAGTTCCGGAAGTTTATGGTAGATTTTTTTCATAAACACTGCTCTGATCAACATCAACTAACTATGGAACGAAGTTTTAATCAAAGTTACTAGAGCTACAGTTTAGCTACAAATTGATTTTGCAAAATTATGCGTCCAATATTCTTGGTTATTAACGAATACGTTATCAATCGTCTCATTAACACTAAGATTATTGATCCTGGAATCCCGGATAATTTGAAAGTGCTTCTCTAAAATCTAACATGATATACTATAACTCATAGTCCCATGCACTTACTTATACACGATTACTGCGTTTCAAACAAAAGTTCGATACAAAAATAAAGGTTATGTATGTTACCATTTCGGTAATTAACACACAATATTAGATAGGTAAAGAATGAATGTCAAGCAAGTATATCATGGTCATATTTGAAGAGTGATTCAATCTGTTCAATGATGAAATATCTAAATACAAGAGTCCACATTTCGTGACACGTCACTAGGTTTTATGATATTTAATGAAAATAAAATAGTCAATGAAGATAGTAACTTTGTATGGTATAGTGTCAGGATATTCATCAAATATCCTAAGAGAATTATTTTTGTAAGTCTAATTCTATTGGTCAATTTTATGGTCGTCCTAGCTATCAATGTCACGTACTTCAATGTTCTTTCTTATTGGTTGTCCTGAATATCAATGTCACTTCGAATGTTGTTTCTTATTGGTCATCCTAACTGTCAATATCACAGACTTCAATGTTGTTTCTTATTCTACCTAACTGTATAAATACAAATTATCTGTAACGTTTTATGATCCAGATTCCTAGTCCGGGATCCTGATTCTCTTCTTTGTTCGGATGCTTGTAGAATACGGGTTCTACTTCATATCAAGTCTTCATTTTTTACTCAATGGGGGGAGGTTGGGACAATCGGATTTAGAGTAGCCTATCGTGTCGCCGGATACTCGATCTCGTTTTCCGACTACGGTAAACTCGTAGTAATTCCAGCCTTTCAAGTGACTTGCTTACCTGCATTCGTAACAGTAGTGTGCTTTTCATCATATACTGATCAGTTGAATAACTAGTGAAAAGGATGATGTGTTTATTATAGTTTGAGAATCTTCAGGAGTGTACACTGATGGGTCTCATGACAGATACGTTAATACTGTGCAACTTCGTTAAATTCTAATGATTAACGTTATTCGATTATCTGCACGTGATGGATCACTTGGATTTTTCCACTGATGTTCATCCACCTCTACAAAAATTACCCATGTTAGTTGTAAAGATTTTTCATTTTAGATTAAAATATAAACAAAAATGGACTACAGTTACTTTTCTAATGGTATGGGTCTGCTAACCCTATACCCAACCCTCCTCCTTTATCCGTGCTTGGCACCGGTAGTAATTCCAGAGAGTCTCCAGGCGGAGTTGAATCATTTCATACTACACCAGTAATTCTTCGCTCTTCGTTTTCCAACTACGGGAAAGCTGGCACTTATTTGCTGTTTACTATGACTGTCAAGAAGTACAAAATCATTTAAGCTTTGTTGATGATGAATACCACCTGCATTAATGTACTCCATTCTCGTCCATAAATTAAAAACATTTTAAAATTTCCCAATGGTCTACAAGCCTAAATACCAAGAATAATTCCACTTCATGCTATACACGAGAGTAATGTGTAACACCAAACTATATGATATCTATCATTTATAAAACATCCATTATCTTGTAGTCACAACACTTAGTATATTTTAATATTCTTTCATATACTACTTATTAAAAGCAGTTCTATAGTTACAATATTACTGATTTTTATCATATTTATTTTCGAACATAATATTGTAGTCGATAATGGTGTCATGTCTGACTAAACATTTTATTTTCCTATCTTTCACTTGGCCCTGTGGTCTGATGGTAAGGTGTTCGCCTACAACCCCGGAGGTCCGGGGTTCGGATCCTGCGAGGAGCAGGAGTCGTGGATGCGCACTGCTGATGAGTCCCATACCAGGACGAAACGGCCGTCCAGTGCTTCCAGGTTTCGAATGGTGGTCTAACAATGATTGATTGATTACATTATTTAACATCTTTGTTATAATGATTGGTCTCCATCTCTGATTGTAATACATGCTGATCTCAAAACTGGTTATTTGTACAAGTAGACAAGAGTAGAGTAAAAAGTCTATTTCATTACTGATTTACTCATTGGAAAAGAAAGCTTTTTCTTGACCAATCGGGTGCATTTGTCCTTCAAGGACACTTTCTAATAGCCATCACAAAAATAACCTTCACTTTTTGGCCAATTCTGATTGGTTCACTACATCAATCAGTCAAGATGATTGATTAGTGAGTTCTTTTCAAATGATATACTATTATTATTTTCCAGTGCTGTCCACTGTTTATTACATGAACCTGATTATATTTTTCTACAGTAAAATATCATTTAGAAACCATTTCACAATTGCGTAACCATAGTGATTTTTGTTTTCTATTTTTTTAGCCAAAATCATTAAATATTTTATTGTTTTACAACCAACAAAGAAAAATATCGTTCATTATTTAAACAATTACAAAGTTGGTTGTATTGCTTTCATGTTGTTCAATTTTTGTGAATAAATTGGATACTTGGTCAACTTATATATATCTATCATATCCCAAGTTTAAAATTATCATTTACACATAAATTATTTCATGGATGTATAAGAATGATGATCGAATCAGAGAGAAGGAAACCTTTTACTGATTTACAAATTAAAAATCGTTTATCAAAATTGCCAGTTTTTGAACAGGTTAGTGAAGCATTTCACTTTTTTTTGTTTCCCCCCCCCTTTGATTCTGCCTACATTCATGTATGAATAAAAATTTTATAAAGTACGATTTAGTCGTGTTATTATCGAATAGCAATTTACATGACTTACACTGTTGTGGTGCGCGCTACTTATAAGTAGTATATGACACGAGTGTAAACGTAATGGCTGGCAACAGAAGATGGGGGAAGATCAAGAAAGGAAGAGCGGGAACACAATGGAATTTGTATGAAACGCATGAATAGTGAAATGTCAGACAATGGATTGATGATGGATTGAAGATTTGCAAATTAACCGTTTACTATATGGTTTTCCTATTTTACTGAGTAACTCTGTAATTTGCGATTAATACAATTCGGTTGCCCTCACCTGTGTTCTCCTTCACTACACTGTAGGTCAGTCAATAACCAAAAGCAAAACACTGTTAATGTTTGACAAATCTGATTAAACAGAGTGAAATAATGAATTTTGTGAGAAATTCTATTGCTGGATGATTCTACTAAGTTATATCTTACAAAATCATTCATATAAAACAGTGAAAATCTACCTTGTATTATTCATGTATAATATGGTTTATGTCCGCTCTATTTGATAGGTATCGGTTATATTAAATGTTAGGGTTACTCACGACTGTTACCTACTCTAACCTGAGCCTTCTTTTCTAGTTCTGTCTAATTGTTGTCCATTCTTCTCATGTCTGTCTGCAATATTTGATGTATTGTGTTCTTTGGTCTTTCTTTTCTGCATCGGCCATGAGGATTTTAAGTGAGGACTTGCCTTGTGACTCGGTTAGGGGATTTCCGCAATGTGTGTTTTATCCACCTCCGGCGCACTTTTTTGTTAATTTCTTCCCCAGCTAGAATCTAGTTTGTTTTATGCCACAGTGGATTATTGATGATGGTGTCTAGCGAACAGATGATGCGTATGTTGTGTGCAGGATAACAGTTAATAAACATATATATCTTATGGATGATGGCTTCCGTAGTTCTTCAACTTTCCGCTGCGTACATTAGAATCGTATTGTATTGAAAATTGTGACTTTGGTGTTGGTCGATAACTGTTTTGAGTTATAGATGTTTTTATAATTGTAAGACCATGATTACACAACTGTTGTATTTAACAAAGAATATTATTATCATTTTAGTGGCTAAGTTAGATTCGTAGTAGGACGCACCCACTTTAGTGACCTGTGATCTGAACAATTATATGTACTATGAAATAAATCTGCCATTCAGTTTGCGTACATCATACTTAGGTGAGTCTCGTTTGTACGACGGTTGTAATACAGTTGGACCAGTTTATTTCAAGCGTTCGTTTATATAGACAGATATGCGAATACAAAGTGTTAAAGCAAAACGATGCGAAGTAGGAAAGAAGAGTGAGCCAACTCAATGTGATGAAACATCCTTAAGTATTGATATTTCAGACAAAACAATCTAGACATGTAATAAGCTAAGTAAGCACGTACTTACACACTCAAATAAAGGCAACCAAGGTTATAAGTGAATGACTGATGAAATCGAAAGACCAGCGAATAATGACTCAGATAGAAAAGGTTAATTAGCTTATCTGAAAGCTGAGCTCAACATACTGGTACATACGCTACAAAATCTTACTACCTTCATTTGTCTTGTGACTTGTTACTAAAAGTTTATATTCATGGTGTCAATTATTACCTTTTATTATCAGGAATGTTGTATACTCAATAACTCCGAAATGTATTCATCATGTTGATGATATCAATCAGTCAATCAATCAGTTATATCCTAAGAGATTTACCAAAATTATTAATTCATTATAGATTCTATTGTCATACGTATTTCATTAAATTTTCAATAAGAATAGGTTTTCGAGAGGAATTCTTGAACATTGAATGCTTGTTCTCTGATACTGAGAATTAATTACGTGCCAAATAAACTGTACTAGTTGATCAATCGATTCCTATGATTGTTATGGACTAGATTAGTATTAGTATTCAGTGAGTGTTTGATATGAGCTAGTGGCTTGCACCGAAAATTGACCTTATTTGGACGAACGATGAAAGCAAGCAAGCGCTCAACATCTGTCTCCTCGGCACTGCATATTCACGACTCCTCCAGGTGCTCTAAAGGTTTGAGGTTAATCACGAAATCCGAACGTCCTAAGCTTGAGTCCTTGACTGATCTAGTACTTCCTAGTTTTTTTCGGTTTTTAGTGAAGGAGAACACAGGTTAGGGCAACCAAATTGTATTTAACGAAAATTACAGAGTTACTCAGTAAAATAGGAAAACCATATCGTAACCGTTAATTGGCAAATCTTCAATCCATCATCAATCCATTGTCTGACATTTCACCACTATTCATGCGTTTTATACAAATTCCATTGTGTTCCCGCTCTTCCTTTCTTGATCTTTCCCCATCTGCTGCTGCCAGACATTACGTTTACACTCGCGTCATATACTACTTACAAGTAGCGCGCACCACATGTTGTCTAAGATCAGTCAGTGGAGTAAACCTAAATTCATCAATCTCCCGAAGCCCATTTTAGGTGATTCTTTGCATTTTATCAATATTCCTCGTTAATTTCACCTGATGAGATAACATAATATCCTACAATGTTGTTGTATAAGTCTAAACCATTATGTGCCTAGCAGGAATAGCGTGCATTTGTGTAATGCCATATAGTAATAATGATGGCTGGCTCAAAATGACTATTTTTATTGCGCTAAGTAATAAGAAAACATTCTTCCAACTAAAAATAAAAGCAAAAATGAATTTATATTTCATGAGGTTGTAATTTTTACAAAATATTTTTAGGTAAACTCTCTACTTCCATATATTGTGAGATTACAAATCTTTTTTGAATGAATTTCACTTAAATATTGATTTGATCTTTATTTTATTGTTGTTCAGTTTGATTTTCTCCGTGGATCTGATATTTTACTGGAAAAAGAATCGGAGATCACACTTTATTTATATCGTAAATTACGAGGAGATTTAAGTAACCTTTTGGCGGATATAAAGAATGAAATACTATATCCTGATGTAGAAACAGATGTTGAGGGTATGTTTTTGATGAAATTGTTAAACTACTTATTTAGCAAATAAAGTAGCAAGAGTTGTATTTAATAATTTTGGCATTCAAAATATCAAGTTGCCAGATCATTGTCATACACCAAAATAGGCCTATTTCAGTAAATGAGTCATGGATCGATGTCTGATATACATTTTAAGCTTGTTTCGTAACTAGGGTATTATTGAGAGTTTACTCTATATCTTGGGAAATTTATAGTTCCTGAAGTTACTAAACGAAATATGAATGAATACAGATAAGTAATTATCTTAAGCGTTTTACGTCAGAAATGTCTAGTAAAGTGAAGCACACCGTCCTTATTGTTCATAAATAACTATTTTGCTGATGTTATGATAAACATAAACATGAATCATGCCAAGCGCAGGAATCTTGCGTGTGCACTGCCACTGATGAGTCCCATACCAGGACGAGACGGCCATATTTCATTGCTTTCAGGTTTCTAATGCTGTGGTCTAACAATGATTGATTGATGATTTCAAATGTGTAAAAACACTAATCTCTATAATTCTAATTGAGAAATCTTATATAATCCAGGAGAAAATAATTTCAAGGAACATTTAAAAAAAAATTAGATTTCTTCATATCATTTTGATTGGAAATAATTTTCTGAATTCATATAATGACGTGATAAATCTAAAACTGAATATAATATGTCATTTTTCATACCATACTATAGATAGAGTTGGATTTTGACTAGTAAATAGTAGAATCCACGATGGGTCTTCGGTCCTATTCAGAAGTCATCAGCTGAATGTATCGGTATCTTGTAGTTCATGTTCACTACGGGATTCGAACCCGGCGTTATCCATTCAGATACTGAGTGCATGTCGCCAATGGCTTGTGCAGCGGTGTGGAGAATAATTCATTTGTATTAGTTATTTGAATCTTCTCACTGATGTGTTAAGACTGCCATCCGTCAGTCACTTTAGACTTATAGGATTTAATTTGTCCTACAGATGTAATTCTAGGACGGTAAACGCAATATTGGCGAGCACAGAGTCTATGGGAAAGCTTTAGTCAGAACAATATCAACTTTTGCTTTAAACTTTATCTGTTTCTAAACATAAAAACAATTACATTAGTACAATAAATAAGGAAATTACAGTTATCAAGTGAACCCAGTAAACATACCGACCAATATAGCGTGTCTTATGGAAATGAATAAAGTTATGAGTCACATCAATATAATAAGATAATAATGTCCTTCAATTAGTAGGTCATTTACAAGAAAGAAAGTTTACAGACACGTCAGATCAGATCATGTGATAGGCGCTTAAACCACAATTTGATTGGTCAGTTAAGACAACTACAATTAGTTATGGAAATAACTAACACGCCGACTGTGCATGATTTGTCTCACTATCACCATCAAGTCACAATCATTGTAAGTAGATTTAAGTTGATGCCTGAAAGTAGAATCCGAGGTGAAAAAAAATTGATAAGCGTAAATAATAATAGAACCTTTCTTCATAAAAATAACTGATAATGCGAATTCATAAGGATATTTGAAACAATGAACTTAGGTTTTTAATGTAATAATTTCAAATGAGACTTTGATGGTATTGATCATTGAAAATTGTGTGTGTACATTTCGTTGTTTTTTGGCATAGAAAAACCACTGCCATTTGATACAACAACAAAAATTGGACAAAAATTAGCAGGAATAGCGAAAATATTCATTGGAACATTGAAACGATCCGATGAAATTAGTCAAGCGATTGAAGAACGTGTTAAACCAATAACAGAAAGAAAAGATTTGAGAAAATCAACAAGGTATAGTTGTATTGTGTTAATATGATTAAAAAGCGATGGGATTTTGTGTTGCTTGTTAGTAGTGCTTACATTTAAGTTTTAGTAAGAAGCTAATGATTAGTTGTTTATGTTTAAATATTGCATAAATGAAACTATTTTTTAATATTCTGATGTTTGTGTCATAGGATAGGATAGTGATTTTATTGTTAGTAAGTTTGTTTACTATCAAATATTAATAATAATAATAATAACCAAAAACGATCTGTTTTTAAAGCGATATACAATTCTTACATAGGACTTTATTCCATTCGAAAGCTTGGATTGTTTAATTCCATCGATCAATAAAATGCTGTTATATTATTTGGTGTGGTTCATATTACTCGCAACGTGGCTTGTCTTTACAGTTCCACCCAATCGCTGTTCATTCTGTGCATGTCTGCTTCCAATTCCAAGTTTAATGCGTTCGTCGGTCTTCCAACTCTCGTTTAACATTGAGGACTCCAAGTGAGGTCTTGCCTTGTGACGCTGTTGGGTGATTTCCGCAATATAGGTTCCATCAACCTCTTAATTTCTTACTCAGTAAGAATCTGTTTTGTTCTCTACCACAGTAGGTTGTCGCTGATAGTGTCTGACCGACGGACAAGGATTATGTTGCATAGACAACTGTTAGTAAACACCTGTAACTCCTGGATGATAGATTTTGTAATTCTCTAAATTTCCGCTCTTTATAGTAGAACTAACTGCCTTAACATTTGTGTTATAAATGATGACTTTGGTGTTAGCTAAACGACAGTTCCAGATGTTCTTACCCTTACTTTACTAATCCGTATCTTTACCACTGCATCAGATCGACCTTGGTTTTTAATGATGCTCCTGCGTAGTTATGTAAAAGTTTCACCATCTTCCAAAGCTTCTTTGTCAAGTATGATTCAGTTGGTGCATGTTGTGTTGTATCGAAGGATTTCGCGTTTTCCCATGTGTATGTTTAGATCTACTAATGCAGTTAGTCATGTGTTGAAATCCTTATCAAAAAAGGGAAATCAGAAGGGGTATGATTGATTGAAAACTTTTTTTTATCTTGGTCGACCTGTAGTGAAGGAGAACACAGGTGAGGGCAACCGAATTGTATTTAACGTAAATTACAGAGTTACTCAGTAAAATAGGAAAACTATATCGTAACCGTTAATTTGCACATCTTCAATCAATCATCAATCCATTGTCTGACATTTCACCATTCATACGTTTCATACAAATTCCATTGTGTTCCCACTATTCCTTTCTTGATCTTCCCCCATCTTCTGCTGCCAGACATTACGTTTACACTCCCGTCATATACTACTTATAAGTAGCGCGCACCACAGACCGTCTATGCTTCATGAAGATTAGGAGGCATAATTAATACATTCAATATTATATAAGTCAGCTAACGGAAATGTCATTTTTTTAATTTTATGATTTATCTACTCAATTTTTTTTCTAGAGAAACAAAACCTGCAGTGGCAAATCAAAGGGTGAGCAGAATTAAAAAGTCTGGTAAATTCGCGAATTTAGTGTAAGCTCTCATTTGTATAAATTTCTTGTTGTCATATATACATATTTACAGACTATTAACACAGTTCTGAGAATATTTATAATTCAAGCAGATTAGTTGACTGAAGCATCATTTTCAAAGATTTATAGTTTATTCATGAAGTGTATATTAATTTATAGGACAACTACACCAGTATAAGTGTCAGGTAGAAAGGGCAATGAAGGTCATCCAGTCCAGAGAGTGAAACTTCCCTGGATACTCGATCAATACGCTATAGACAACCCGGATCAGATTATGCAGGAAACACGACAACATACAGAGAACCAAGAGATGATAATCTCTATTCAAAATAATCATACGTAGTCTACACTGAGTTTAGAGTAAAAATCAATAAGTGCAGGAGTTGTATATGCGCACTGCCACTGATGAGTCCCATACCAGGACACAACGGCTGTCTTTCAGTGCTTCCAGGTTTTTAATGGTGTTGGTCTAACAATGATTGATTGATGATTTCAAATGTGCAAAAAAATACTAAACAGTTCTTGTTTATCATATCACCACTCATTCGCTATTCACAGATTGATTTTACTAACACACATTATGTTTTGTGAAAGGAAATAACCATTCGTATAAACTACATTCTACAACAACTACGATTTGCATGTATATTAATCAGAAATTTGTCGCGAATTTACACAGTTGACGCTGCTATCGTTTCCCTGTGATGTAGACTTACAATACCGTGTCAAAGTATAATAACAGGGTTTAAAAAAATTACCATCATGCATAAAGCTGATTAATTCTATGAAAAGAAATATATCTATTATAAACTTGAAGTTATTAATCAAAGTACATTGTAGTGTATGTACTTTTATGTTAAGCCAACAGGGCTTGTTCCAAGCCTTCGAACGAATTAGCAAATCTAAACTTCCCACGTTTCTGTTCTCTTGTCTTTTGACTTTGTCAGTTATTCGATTTTTCGTGGCTATAAATGGCTGAGTCATTGCTCAGCACATTGAATTGGCTACATTCACCTTCTCCACTTGGCTGCACACTTGGTTTTCACGCTTTCTATTCTCATGTGTATCTGCCTAGATGAATGGATGAAATAAATTCATCCGTGAAACCGTATTTGGCTTCTTGTTTTACCACTGTTGCACAAACAGAATTCAGTCAGGATTCGATTGTGACCAATTTGGTCTGCATGTGTTTCTTTGGGTATGAGGGCGGATGTTACTTCCCGGCTGCCCACACCGTGAAAGGTTGTTCCTTGAGGGACCTGAAAAGGAAGGTAGATTAGCGTTGGTCTTGGAGACCTGGTTGCGTGACCGCAAAGCCCAAGGGACAACAGCTTGAGGCCGGTCACGCACGGCCTTTCTATGAGAGGTTTTTTGAGTCTTAGCTCCGCTCTTTAAAGCCCTTAGTGGGTACCCTTACCGCGGGAGACGGAAATCCGTGAGGTAGGGTGAGGTGTGACATTTTTAGGGTCGACCTTTTCTAACCCTTCCTTCCTCGTGAGAAGGCAGCATCGCTGCAGATGCTGGTTGTCACACTCCTCTGCAGTCAGCAGTACGACTTCGCTCTCAGACCTTGAGTAGCTGTTTTTAGTCTCATCATTCTCCAATTGACCTTCCTGGCATGATAGGACCTTCAGGAACATAAGTTCCAGCCAATATAGCTCAATTAGGTCATCACGATAGGCAAGCCCGACCACCACGTCAAGGTATCAGGTATGATCGGGACAGACAAAATTCACCCTAGTAAGATAGACGGAAATGAAAGGGAGGATTTATTTGATGGCATATTTAATTGTTCGAAATTATCGAAGTCACATCATGGGTCATTAATAACATGAATAATGATTAAAGATATTTTTGATTTTGTCTGGTACTTATCATTTTGAATATACAACATCTTGGTGGATTATTCATGATAAAATGTTAAATACACGAATCCATAACAGGAGCATGTACTTCTAAAATGTTTTTCTTACTTATCTAGTATAATGCTCGTTTCTTAGTTGATTCCATTGTCGGTTTCATTGTTTTATCTTCAAAATCCATATTTTAAACATTTAACAGATTACCAGGTTTTTCCTTTACTATAAGGATGTTAAACAAAAGCTTGTGTTATATATATCCATTAATAATTTTAACATCTGGAACACAATATCTTCAGTAATCTAGAGTTGATAATTCATCCTACTACCCAGTCATTGTATAAAACGATATTCTGTTGGAAATCATTTCTTGGATACTTAGTGACTCAAATAACAATACAGACTGGTTTCAGTTCAATAACGATGTTACTAATATTGATTTTTTTTCAAAAAACCTAATTATATCACTGAGTTTAAACGTTCTTATTGGTTATGACTTTTTCCTGATTTAAGCTTCACGTGTAATTAGCGTATGAGTTGTTCAGAATTCAATCTTAAGTGTTGTTTAAATGATGATGATTGATTATTGAATCGTAATTAATGTTATGTTTGTTCAGTCTTTTAGTAGTGAACAAATTCTGTCGATCAAACTGTAATGTGATCAGTAGTCTGAATGACTTAAACACGAGTGTATCATGTTGTGATGCTAGTTAGTTGGAACGAGTCAAGAGGAAACTATGAGTCTAGATTTCGAGTTATTTGATGGTTGTCAGTTCCGTAGACCAGTAAAGTTGAAAGAACTGTTGCTGCCTGAAGCATTCTATCCCGTGTCACACAGCTTCATAGTCAGAGATATTGTCACTGAGCTTGTTGAGTTTAATATCAACAATTAAACAAGATATAGGATGTTGCTCAGCAGAGTTGGTGTATGGAACTACTCTACCGCTACCAAGAGAGTTCTTCACTTCATGGTAAAAGTGTGACAACTGATATAACCAACTATGTACAACGTCAAAAAGAACACATGAGTGATCTAAGAATAGCGCTTTCGAGTAAAAATCAATATCGTTTATACATGTCGAAGCAACTGAGTGACAGGACCCATGTATTTATCAGAATGGTGATGTCTAGCGTCCCTTAAAACTGATCGACGACTGCCTATTTAAGGTGATTAGAAGAAATGGTACAACTATTACGGTGGAAAACAGATGTCATTAACATCGACCAAGTTGAACCAGTTTCCATCGAATGTGATAATCAGCCAGTAAGCACAAATCCTTCGAAAAACCATCAAATTCCTGAAGCGTGAGTTCAAATCATCAACGACGTCGACGAATAAAGATGAAGCGAATCCTGTAACGACAAGATATCATCTTGTTGCAATGATTTGATAACAGTGTGGCCTATTTCACATTTGTAATAATTTCGATAATTGTATCGACAATTATACATTTTCATTAATAAAGGGAATCGTGACAACGGTCCGCGTTTTATAGTAACGGTAGTAAACGAGGTTTAGGAATAAAAATCAAATATCCACCGTCTCAAAATTAGCGAGCCCGATGTCTAACTTAACGCAGCCTGCAGAATCACATGGTCCTTTAGGTTGCATTACCGTTCGACCTCAGACTCAACAGTTTTGTGACGGTGGATATATGATTGATATATTCCTAAACTTCGTATACTGCCAACCTGACAACCGTTACTATAAAACGCGGATGGTTGTCACAGTTATATTTTTTGAAACCATGAATCTATCAATGTTAGATCACAATTCGAAACTTGGAAGTACTGAAAGACAGCCGTTTCATCCTGGTATGGTACTCATCAGTGGCAATGCTCATCCACGACTCCTGCACCCCGCAGGATTCGAACAAAGACCTTCGGTATTGCGCGTGAACGCCTAACCTCTGAACCACTGAGCCGGTATCTAACAGTGTTAATGTCTAACGTGATCAATTACGGAGTTGCGCAACTTCATACACAGTCTTCGGTAGTTACTGTCTACACCTGAACAGGATGAACTTCACTGGTCCAGTCTTCCCACTAGAACTCGGAGAAAATTCCTGACAAAGCTAGTCACTAGTGAGCACAGGTGATTTGCATAACGGGGTTGTGAAGATTGAGTAAGTTACACACTTTTTGAAACCATGAATCGATCAATGTTGGACCACCACCATTAGAAACCTGGAAGCACTGGATTACTTAAGTGTCCCGTACACCAGGACGAAACGGCCGCCTTTCATTGCTTCCAGGTTTCTAATGGTGGTCTAACATTGATCGATTCATGGTTTCAAAAAATGTGTAACTTACTCAATCTTCTCAACCTCATAATGACAATTCTTTTTATATTATTCAAAATATAATCATTTTAGTCTTTATTCATCATCTCCTCACTGTAAATATGTTGTTGTCACTGTTGTTGTTGTTGTTTGTTACAAAACTACACCTTGTAGTACATCGTTAAAAGATGCGCAACCAATGCCTGATGTGGAACCAAGAAAACTTCCTGAATTACCAGAATATGATCAGGATAAACAAGCAAGATCATATTTAAAAGAAAAACTATTTGATGATTTAGGTGAAGCAGCTAAAAGAGAACAGGTGAGTGAATTTTTTTTTAAACCGATTACATCTGAGACAACAATGAACTATTATTATTGGCTGATATGTGTTAAGTTTATTTGTAAAGTGGTAAGCGTGAACGTAACCATGTCCATTTGATAACGCTTGAACTATTACGAGTTTACATTAGTCGGGAAACGAGAGAGAGGATCGAGGATCCGGTGACACGACATGTTACTCTAATCCGAGTGTCCCAACTCCTATATTGAGTAAAAGGAAGAAGACTTGATATGATGTAGAACATGTATTCCACAAGAATCCAGAAAGTACGAGGTCCAAGTCCAGAAGAGAAGAAGGATCCTGGACTAGGGATCCGGGTCCGGGTCATAAAACGTTACAGATAATGGGTATTTATACATTTAGGTTGAATAGGAAACAGCATCGAAGTCTGTGACATTGACAGTTAAGATCACCAATAGGAAGTAACATTTGAAGTGACACTGACAGTCAGGACGACCAATTAGAAACAACATTGAAGTATGTGACATTGATATCTAGGACTACCGTAATTAGGAATTAACCAATAGGAATTGACCAATAATTGTCTTAGGATATTGGATGAAGACAAATAGATTAAGTCATCTATTTTCCCAGTAGACTGGAATTCCATGAATAAATCATCCTGTCAATTTTAACATGACACTATTCTGAAGCAAAAACAATGATGTTGTAAATAATTTGAAATGTGTATCTTTCGTCGATTGAACTTCAACGGCGTAGATAGTTTTCATCACTAACTGATGCTCATCATATAGTCAGTCAGTCAACAACAATATAGAACTTCGTACTTACTTACATCAGTTCAAGTTGTCTTACCACATTAGCACAGAGATGCAATTGTCACTTCGAATCCCACAGTAGTAGAGGCAGTAGAAGTATTAGCAGTAATCGGAAATTTCAGGCTTCGACGATATTATTCAAGAAGTAGAATCTATTGAAATAAACTTAAAAGAAAAAGGTTAAGGTGATAAGGAATTCAGAAGGTTAGTATTTTATAGAACACAACGAGTGGATGCACTTGCTCCATTGCAAACGCGTTTGAGTCATGTCATTAAGGGTCTTTAACCATAGATTACTATCAACTCACGGGCCTCATCCAGGTAGTGGACACCTACTAACTGATGTTCATCTGTTGTAAACTATTGAAGAAACCTGTTGCAAACGTAAAACAGCTACTTGAAAATGTACGATTTTCAGTAATCATCTGATGGATATCAATACATGGAAAGAAATATTCTACAAACTCAGCTACATTTCGTAAATTTTAAAAAACAACTCATGAGACTATATGTTCACTAGTAACTAACTTTGAGGCAGATTCCGAAATGTCTTGTAAAAAGTTGTGATCACTGAAACTTATCCCTATGAGAGTTGAAACAATTGTCACCAATGACAGCCAATGATTGTTTCGGTAATTAGTAAAATGGCTAACGCTGAAATTATTGACCAACTGAGTTATTCAAATTTAGTGAGATATCTCCAAGACTTGACTACATTTTATGTAACCGTTTGTGGAATTGTATATATATATATATATATATATATATATATATATATATATATATATATATATATATATATCGTTTTCTTGAAGTACTCTACATCTAAGCCTATGTGTATACTATGGAGTGCTTCGTTTTTGTCTAGTTCAGTTAACTTATGTATACATCGGATGCTTGAAATGTACTCCACCTATACTTATGAATATTAAAATAACTCATCACTCACTTAGTTTTAACTCGACGTATGTCACCATCTAATGAAAATTGCACAAAGAATTCAATAATCTCGACAATTAGCTGTATCACACTGTTTCAACGTCCGTTTTCTATAGATTATCAAAAAAATTCAACTTAAGACGATAAATTTCTGGCTTTCATTTTATTTAGATAAACAGTCATGTACTACGATTGTTGGGATTTTCCCATTTCTGTTATAAAAGTTTGTATAGTGATGAGGTTATGCAAGTTAGTAAATACTTCACTAGAATAAAGTTTGAAAATAAACTGTTCACTGTGTCAAAAATGTTTGCAATTATTTTTCACTAACAGCAATAACCAAACTGGATGTATTTTAAGTCTAAGAGTGTTATGGACAAGCCAAATATATAGTTTATATTCCCGAAAAGCACGTTTCATTGAGATCAACATATGAGTCTCAGAAAGGCCAATTGATTCAACTATTAGGTTGAAAAGATTACTAGATTTACTTCACGACTAGAAAATCACACGCAAAACTGATTATTCTAGTTTCGACTTTCGTTTTTTGGGATCGTCAGTGAGCACTGTTGATAAGCTCAACAATTATTTGAAGATATGTCTATTTATTACTTAAAACAGTAAATAGTAGTAAAAAATAATTCCTATCAAATTCTTAATTTTAGGAAATTCTTATAGAAAAAATGAAATTACAATCTATGAGATTTAAATCAGAATCAGCTAGACAACAAGATAAAATTACTGAAAAGATAAGTGAAGCAAAAGATCGTAAGAAAATGGTAAAAGAAGGATCAACAGATTTGGCAGTTACTCAATTGTTAGATAGAAGTCATCAGCTGGATGAAATGTATGTAATTTTTTGTGTTGATATTTGTACAGCATTATTTTTTTAAAATGTAAATGAGCTTATATGAATCAAGCAGGTTTTTAATTTTAAGGCAGAAACTAAAAGCTGCTATCGAAGATGATGTACCATGCTGCTAAATTGGTTGTAATTGAAAGGACTGAGCCCATGATTACACGTACTTAGTGAAATACTTACGCCTGTTACCCCCGAATTGAGCACAGGTCGCCGACCGGTATTCTCCAGCATACCCTGTCCTGGGCTTCCCTTTCCAGTTCTTTCCAATTTTTGTTCATTCTTCTCCCGTCTGTCTCCATTTCTCGGTGTAATGTGTACCTTGGCCTTCCTATTTTCCTTTGACCTTAAGGGTTCAAAGTGAGCGGTTGTGTTGTAAGGCAGTTGGGTGCTTTCCGCAGTGTTTGTCCTATCCACTTCTACCGCTTCTTCCTGATTTTCTACTCCACTGAAATCTGGTTTGTTTTCTCCCAAAGTGGGTTGCTGCTGATGTTGTCTGGCAAACGAATCCGAAGTATTTTGTGCAGACAACTGTTAATAAATTCTTGTATCTTCTGGATGATGACTTTCGTAGTACTCCAAGTTTTCACTCCATACAGTAGAACTCTTCGGCCATTTGTATTGAAAATTCTGATTTTGATGTCAATTGATAGTTATTTGGAGTTTCAGATGTTGTTCAGTTGTAGAAATGCAGCCCTCAGTTTGCCGATCTGCGCCTTCACATCTGCATCAGATCCACATCGTTCGTCAGTGATGCTGCCTAGATACATAAAGGTTTTTACGTCTTTCAAGGCGTTACCATCATGAGTAGTTTGGTTGGTGCATGTTATGTTTTATCGGAAAATCTTGCTTTTCCCTTTGTATATGTTGAGAACTGCTACTGCTGAGGCTGCTGCTACACTGGTCGTTTTCTCTTTCATTTGTTGTTGCATGTGGAATAGAAGCTCTGGATCGTCCAGGCGGAGTTATGATTCCACGTAGGATTAGAAAATGCGCGAGTGATTACGTCCAATCCAATTGTAGTTATCAGTTCACGCATGTTTAAGTGAACACACATAATTCGGAATGAGTAGTCGTACAATACTATCAAGGGTTATTAAACACGTTTCTAAATGGCTTCAAAATCATTTAACAGTCAAATAATCCTATAAATGTGGGAAATAGACAACCCTATTCATCAATCTCAAAACACCTAATCGAGACTGGGCATAGGATGAACATAAAGACAGCTTTTAAAACATTGTTTAGAAAAGTTCAAAGACGAATTCTGTAGTTTACAGAAGCTTTGGCTATCGGTTAATTCAAATCACATTTTATGTTTACAGAAACAATTTGTCATAACCTTACAATTTACTCCGATAGTCTACAAGCCATTTCAATGCCTAGGGTATTGTGACGATTCCCTATCTTTTCTAAAGGATGTTAATTTTCTCTCTCCTTTATTTATAATTGCCACCTTCTGTTTATTTGCACTTTTATTTAATTGACCTTTATTGATTTTCATATAAAATGCCTTGACAAGTTGTTATAGTATCTATTAAATATACCACTTCGCGGGATAACAAATGTTAATCCCGTTACTATAGTAATCAGATAAAAGGAGATTTTAGAGGAAGAACTATATTTAATGCTAGCCTCGTGATATCGAAATAATCACGAGACTAGGGTACATGAGCGGCTAAAAACGAGTGAGGAAAGAAGGCTGAAAAAGCCAAGACACGCTTGGCGCGCGAGAGATAGCCTTTTTTAGTACAGTTAAACAAGAGGTGTACAATATAACAATTATTGTCAGAATTAAGTACAAATGTGTTTTCTTCGTAAAAGTATACCACTACAAAGTTGACATATATGTGACCAGATTGTTTGGAATGTATACATCAGATTTTTGAGGTCAATTATGGCTTCACATTATTCTATCGAAAGTTAGATTTTGTTGAGTTGCACCCCAAATTTAAATTTATCAGAAAGAGAACATATATTGAACAGATGGTCGTGTTTACTATTTAAAATATTTCTGGTTTAGTTAAGTTTTAACTTTGTCCAAGTTGTGTAATCACGTTTCTTAATTACTGATGTGATTTTATCGATAATCATCTAAGAACTTTTTTCAATTAGAGTAATGGAGATTAGTGTTTGTTGCACATTGAACTCATCAGTCCATCATTGTTAGACCAATATTAGAAACCCGGAAGCACTGAACGACGGCCGTTTCGTCCTGGTATGGGACTCATCAACACAGTTGGATGCCGGCCCAGAGGTTGGGCGTTCGCGCGCATGACTGAAGCTCCCGGGTTCGAATCCTGCGAGGTGTAGGAGTCGTGGATGGGCACTGCTGATGAGTCCCATACCAGGATTTGACGGCCGTCCAGTGCTCCCAGGTTGCTAATGTTGGTCAAACAACGATGGATGGATGATGGTTTCAATATTCAATCTAACTAATAACTAAACTATAAAGTTCATGTCAATATCTAGATTGATTAACATTGACTATTTGAACTCATTCGTTAAGTAGGCAGTGTGTTGACGTTTAAAGTGAACGCTATTAATTTCTAGTCCTACACTGAGGACATCGAATGTCAGCTCCAGCTGACGAGTCCTGGATTCCACCACTTGCTAGCCAGCCATTATTCATTTATGGTTATTTATGCTTTTCAATACAATTCACACAGTATACTGCTGCTTTATAGAGCTGAAAGTCTCCTATGAGACTAGAGGTTCGCTGTGAATATTGTGGATGGCTTTGCTTTGCTTTAATAAGCATTGCTAACAGTCCAAATACAAAACTGGTTAGCAGGGTGACCGATTTCATTGATACTGATGGTGGTTGTTTTGCGACATTTCCGAGGGCCATTGTCATTGGGGTGCTGTATTGCTGCATATCACCATCGTTAATAATAATGAGTTTGACAGTCATGTAAGCGGGATTGGTCGAAATGGTCTGTTCATACGGTGCTTATTGATTGACGCAATCATGGATCGGAAATATATATATATATATATATATATATATATATATATATATATACGAGTGTGTGTATATATGTAAATGGTGTGAATGGTTCACCAGGGTATCAGGTACCAGTGTTATGGTTGCACCACACGATTGAGCTGAACTGTTCATGTAGTAATGGTAAAAACATGTGTAGTCTCTTTGGTTCTCCTGCGAAACTAATGTAAAATTGTGAAATAACAATTCTGTCAGTTTGAGTTACAGTAGATGGAAACAATTCTATTCTATGAATTTTTTCCCTAACATTTTCATTATAACCTCTTTTAGAAGTGTGAAAAGAATTCATCTTTAATAAAAATTTAAAAAAACGATACACAATGAAATTATTCTTGTTAAATTCTAATTATTTCAATTAGTATTATTGTTTATGTGTTTCTATGGTAACTTTCAAATTCTTTAATATCATTTGAAAAGTTTGTGACCTGTATGAGTTGAATGTGGATTAGTTGTGTGAAGTGTTCATTGTTCTGCTGAACAACATTATAACCAATCATTTCATAAAGAGACGTGAACAATTAGAATTTCTCTTTACAATTAACTTACAGCTTGATTTGTTGACCTAAAGTTTGGTTGATACTTATGCATAAACTGTATGGTTGGTTGTTACTTGTACTTTTCATTACGGGGTTGTGAAGATTGAGTAAGTTACACATTTTTTGAAACCATGAATCGATCAGTGATATTCCAACGGCCGTCCAGTACTTCTAGGTTTCTAATGCTGTGGTCTAACATTGATCGATTCATGGTTTCAAAAAATGTGTAACTTACTCAATCTTCACAACCGCGTAATGCAATTTACCTGTGCTCACTAGTCACTAGCTTTGTGAGGAATCTTATCCGAGTTCTAGTGGGAAGTCATGACCAATGAAGTTCAACCTGTTCGGGTGTAGGCAGTAACTACCGAAGACTGTGTATGAGTTTGTCCATGACCGTGAACTGATCGAAGTTAGACATTAACAGCGTTAGTGGTCCAGAGATTAGGCGTTCACGCGCAAAACTGAAGGTCCTGTGTTGGAATCCTGCGGGGTGCAGGAGTCGTGGATGCGCACTGCTGATGAGTAGTCCCATACCAGGACGAAACGGCCGTCTTTCAGTGCTTCCAAGTTTCTGTTGGTGGTCTAACATTGATCGATTCATGGTTTCAAAATATGTAACTTGTACTTTTGTTTTGGGTGGTTTCACTCTGGTAACTAGAACTTTGACCTTGTCATTGTTCTTGCTTTTTACTTATTGGATGATACATTTAGTTAATTTTGATGTGTTTTTCAAACATTGAAATTATGAATGAATCATTGTTGATGTGTTTTGCCTTAATAATGTTTGATTAAATGACTTGACCTCTATGAATCGGTGTTGCTTCCTTCGAACTTTTTCGATTTTAACAACTTGAAGGTCAACATTCTAGTCAACATAGTGAATCAACCAAAACAAACATACAAACAATGTTTATACAGTTATGGGATAACAGTCGACCAAATGTAAAGTCAATAGAATAAGCTGTCAGCTAATTGTAGAGAAATTCTAATAGCTCCACTGCCTTTTTGAAGTAAATGATTTTGTGATGTTGTTCCATAAAGCGATATAAACTTTCAGTTAGAGTTTTGGAGATTTGTGTTTTTACACATTGAAATCATCAATCAATCATTGTTAGACCACAGCTTTAGGAACCTGGAAGCACTGGATGGCCGTTTCGTCCGGGTGTGGGACTCATCAGTGGCAGTGCGCATCCACGACTCCTATACCTCGCAGGATTCCAATCCGGGACCTTCGGTATTGTGCGTGATCAACTAACCATCGGATCATCAAATTATCTTGTGAATAAACACAGCATTTTGATGAATAAAATAAGCAAATTGAACATTGATCAATAAACGATGTACAATGGATAAAATCCAACCGAAAACTGGCTGCTCAGGAGGACTTTATTATTGACATCCCACTTCCAAATGAACTTACATCATAGATATGATCATTAGTCATAAAATATTGAAAATCTACTTATAACAATTAGTCCCTTTTAGAAATTTTGATAGAACAGTGAGAAGATGTAATTGATCTGAAAAATGTGATATATTTATGCTTTACATTTCGAACAATCTGTTCACGCATATACTTACACATTTTTGAAACCATGAACGATCAATGTTATACCGCCATTAGAAACTTGGAAGCACTGGAAGGCCGTTTCGTCCTGGTATGGGACTACTTATCAGCAGTGCTCATCCACGACCCCTGCACCCCGCAGGATTCCAACCCAGAACCTTCAGTATTGTGCGCCAACACCTAACCTCTGGACCACTGAGCCGGTACCTAATGGTGTTAATGTCTAACTTGACCATTTGATGGAGTTGCGCAACCTCATACACAGTCTTCAGTAGTTACTGTCTACACCCGAACAGGTTGAACTTCATTGGTCACGTTTTCGTACTAGACCTCGGAGAAGATTCCTCACGAAGCCAGTGACTACTGAGCACAGGCAATTTCATTACGGAGTTGTGAAGATTGTCAAATTACACATTTCTGAAACACATACTTGTCAAGGCCTCTTGTATGAAGATTAATAAAAGGTCAAATTAATAAAAGTTCAATTAGACATAAGGTGATAATTGTAAATAAAAGAGAGACAGTAAATTAACGTAATATGAAAAGAATAAGAAAGCGCAGAAAAAAATTGTCACATTACCTTAGGCTTAAAGATTACTAGGGTAAATTCAAGGTTATGACAAATTGTTTCTATACATATAAGGGGGGTTTTAATTTACGAATAGCCAAGGCTTTCACGAACTTCAAAATCTCGTCCTTCAACATTTCTATACAATGTTTTGAAGGCAGTCTTGATGTCATTCTTATGTCCCGTCTCAATTATGTGTTTTTTGCGATCGATGAACATGGTTTTCTATTTCCCACGTTTATCGGTTCATCTGAAGTTAACTGATTTTGAAGCCACTTAAGTACATGTTCCATAACCTTTGATTGCAAGGTCCAATTACCAGTTATATTGATTTACCTGTGCATGTAGTCATTTCATAATTAATATATATTTCATGAGATAATCTTTACGATTAGTTAAAAACAGTATGAATGTTGTTGTCCCTGATAAAAAAATATTAATTATATGAAAAAAGCAGCCTGTTTATTCTTGACACTCTCTCTCATTTTAATCCACTACAAACCGTAATAAAATTGTATTAGTTCAAAGATTTATTCCATATGAAGTCAGAGTTGTTTTTGATGAGTATTAGTGAATATGGAATGGTGATAGGCTAGATGATATCCAATTGTGCTTGTTACGCATGAACGTAAACATGTCCATTTGATATGCTTGAACTATTACGAGTTTATTTTAGTCGGAAAACGAGAGCGAGGATCGAGAATCCGGCGACACTACATGCTACTCTAATCCGAGTGTCCCAACCTCCCCCCATTGAGTAAAAGAAAAAGACTTAATGTGAAGTAGAACATGTATTCTACAAGCATGCAGAAAGTACGAGGTGCTAGTCCAAAAGAGTATCAGGATCACGGACTGGGGATCCGGTTCCGGATCCGGGTCATAAGCATTATAGATAATGCGTATTTATAGGAACAATATTAAAGTTTGTGACATTGACAGTTAGGATGACCATAATATTGAGCAGTAGGAGTTGACCAATAGAATTAGACTTACAAATAATCCTATTAGGATATTGGATAATGTTGGGGACGTCAGATCCCCAGAACTCGCTTGATAAATGCTTTATTTTGGATTTCACGTTTGCGAGTATGGGCTGATCAGTTGACCTTGAGATTTCATTTCCCACCAGGAAAATCATTGGCTGCTGTGTATTTTGGTGTGCTGTTTTTGTAACTGTCTCAAGGACGTTTCTATGATGTATAAATAAACGAGTTTTGTGTGCTTGATTGTATTGTGTGATTGCTGGGTGTTTGTAGAACATACTTACTACGCTTATCAAGACTTCTGTTTTGCCGTTTTCGAATCAAGTTAGCCTATCTGGACGCTGGTTCATTGTTTCGTTCGCGTTTATCAACTAAGATGAACCCGTAATAGCTTCAAGCGTACTTAGTGACGAACCTAACAGATAAATATCCTAACAGTGCTATACAAAATTGTTTTATTATTGATACATGACAATAGACTTAATGTTAATCTTTCTTAAAAAAAAAACTTTCATTATTCAGTTATGAAAAAGATCGTGAAGAACATGAAACAGCATTTGCTGAACGTTTACAACAACAACAACACCCGAAACCTGATGATGCACAGCCTGACAACGAGTCAAAATTAGCTGGAATGAAACGTTCCAAAGCGAAACGTCCTTTACCACGTCTTTAGTAAGTTGTGTGATACAATCACAGTATTATTAATTTTCAATTAAAAACGCTTGTGTATGCCATTGGCTTTCGATTAGTTTGTATGTTATTAAGGTACAGGTTTGTTTTAAAGTCATTAGTGTATTGAAGCATTGCATTATCTATCCACTTTTGAAATTAGAATCGATCTAAATCAAGTAGCATATAATTTAGATAATCAAGATTCAGCGTGTCTGTTGTATTTTACACATAACTAAATGTTTTGATTTTTGAAAAGCCATGAAATTTAGTGAGTAACATTCATTATTTTGACATATTTAATATCAACAAATTATTCTTCACTTCACTGACTACGTGCACTCCGTACCTAAGTGAACATAACATGCCTAAATTTGAAGCAAACGGTACTCAGTTGGAATTCTGAAGTGAACTTCAAATCTTGAATGCCAGATACACATCCAACTAACAAGTCCCCAATTGGGATAGAATGGGCATCTTGCGTTCTACCGCTAGCCACAATCCATGTCTGGTTATAAGAAATTTATTTATCATAGTTATAGTAAGGTAATTTTACAACCGCATTGATAGATATCTGTCTAGTTGGCGTAATTGAATAGGTAAGCAAATTGAGAAAAAATAAGAATTCAAGTAGATTCTTCTCTCTTCAAGCAACCATAATCAACAGACTGTAGAAATGTATTTTTCCAAAAATGTTATTTTACATAGTTGAATCGTGTTTAATTTCATGTATTTTTCAATGAAAATCTCTTGATAATATGTACAACCATAGATTAATGGTATTATCAGTAATCTTTTGTTGATTTTGTTACATGACAAAAGCAAATGCGTCTTTTTTTAGTTTGTTGTGTGGATATTATCAATGTTTTGTGATGTTTGCACAGCAGCATGTAGGTTGTACTGCGTCTGTAATCTGAACTATTTGCTTGATGAACTGTCGAATGGGTTTCTTAAAATAATATCAACAAACAGTTGCGGTTTATTAATTTTGTTTATTTAGAAATCGAAATTACCGAAGAATAATCATATAAGGTTTATTGAATTACTCTGGGAATGTGAAGCTGTTATCATCCGTATTACTCATAATTAATTGAATTTCAAGGTATAATTCTCTACATAACTGATAAGTACATTTTTAGCGGTGTTGGGGACGTTAAATCCCCAGAACTCGCTTGATAAATGTCTTAATCTTCGATATTATTCATTGGCTGATCAATTGACCTTGAGATCATATTTCCCACCAGCAAAATCCTTAGCCGTGGTTGGTTGCTGTGTTATTTTTGTGACTGTTCCAAGGACGTTTCTATGATGTATAAATAAACGCAATTTATGTGTTTCAGCTCATTGTATTTGCTGGGTGCTTGCAGAATACACTTTCTACGCCATATCGATCTATATTCTTAAAACATATATTATGAGTACTACACCTAACTATTTATTCAACATTCAATTTTGACATTAATTATCATTGACTCCGTTACATAATCGTAATTAGAAGGGAAAAATGTTTACTGCTGGTTACAAACACCACTCAATCACATCTTTGACTACCTTGTTTAATAACAAGAAGTTAAGAGAAGTGAGACATTCCAATAAATCATTTTGTTTCATATATCTAAAATATATTTTGTTTTCTGATTCTATCAATTTCAAGGAGTCACAATCTTGAAAGAGATAACAATATGGAGAACGTAGAAATTATTATTCAACTAGTGAATAAAAACTGATCAATAATTTTCAAAAATAAAAAGAACTGTTCATCAGTCATTTTATTTTTAAATTAACAATAAATATTTTCTAATATTCAATATATACCATTGTTTCATTGTGATTAAGCAGGCGGGAAAAATATATTCTAGCTTAATTCATATCATGGGGCACAGTTTTTGGAGGTGTGCGTTTTTACACATTTGAAGTCATCAACCAATCATTGTTAGACCACCATTAGAAACCTGGAAACACTGCAAGACGGCCGTTTTGTCCTGCTATGGGACTCGTCAGCAGTGCACATCCACGACTCCTCCTCTCAGGATTCGAACCCGGGACCTTTGGCATTGTAGGCGAACGCCTTACCTTCGGACCAGTGGGCCGGCATCCAACGGTGTTAATGTCTAACTCTGATTGATCTAGGGATTTTGCGCGACCTCACCCATTTGTCTTTGGTAGTTACTGCCTACACCTGACAGGGTTGAACTCCATTGGTCACGTCTTCTCAACTAGAACTCCGAGAATTTCCTCACGAAGCTAGTCACTAGTGAGCACTGTTACGATATTTTGGGGCACAGTTTTTGGAGGTTTGCGTTTTTACACATTTGAAATCATCAATCAGGAGTCGTGGATGTGCACTGCTGATGAGTCCCATACCAGGACGAAACGGCCGTCCAGTGCTTCCAGGTTTCTAATGGTGGTCTAACAATTATTGATTGATGATTTCAAATATGTAATTCATATCAGTCAGCAGTGGAAAAGTATCATGATGAATCTCTCTAAGCGATATACATCAGAACAAGTGGTTTGAAAATTTAGTATACTAGTAATAATAAAAATGAATATATTTGTACTATCCCGATGAGTAGGAAATCGAGAATTCTCTGATGTTTCATGATTCAGTGTAAGCCACCTTATCCGAGAATATTCAGTGTACTAATCAATATACAATCAATCGAAATCAAGATACGTGTTAGAAATACGGTAATCAATGCACGTCCGTCAAGTCCTAGTGTGGGAATCCTCAGCACTGCAGATCCATGACTTTGTAAGTGGGAATCAGATCTACGAGTTTCAGTTTGGCGCGCGACAACTTGACCTCTTGATCAGTGGACAGACATGGTTTGGTGTTAATATTTAACTCCAAACAATCCATAGTACTATCCAATCATCATCGATTGTCTTAGGTAGGTAGGTAACTGCCCAAAATTTGACTTCGTTCAGTTTTGCTGGTCACAACTTTTCACTGGAACTTTGGAAATTCTTTTACGAAGCTAGTAACAAGTGAGTACATGATAACTTCGATCATAGTTTAATGGTCCGAGATCTAACCCCAATTTGTTGGAAAAACTAAATATGTTTTGCACAGAATCTTCTATATATAATGCTGCGTTTAAACGACGGAGGTAATAAGAAGACACATACGGATTCATTTCGGACAACTGATTTCATGCAATCGTTCACGCAGGCCGACATAAGAATACGAAGCGTAAAGGCAACTCGAAACGGAATGGAGAAGGCGAGTGGAACAACGCAATATGATGAAGAATGGCTAAGTATTTATAGTCAGACAAAATGGGCTAAGGATACAGTAGGTGAAGTGAGTACGCAAGTACACACGAACAGGAGCAACCAAAGTTATAAGCGAACCTTATACATGGTCGAAAACCGTCTGAATAACTCAAGAAGAATGGGTTAATTAATTTTTTCGAAGGTTGAGATAAACCATAACATGAGTTGATCATTGTTAGAGCACCACTGGAAACTTGGAAACACAGGACGGCCGTCATGTCCTGGTATAGGACTCATCGATAGTGCACATTCACACTTTCTGCCTCACCTAGGATCTACGGTCTTGCGCGCATACTCTAACTTCTGGACCAAGGAGCTGGTATTCAACGGTGCTAATGTCTAACTCTGACCAATCTACAGATTTTGCGCTACTTCACCCATCTGTCTTTGGTAGTGACTCCCTACACCCGATAGGACTGGACTCTGCTGGTCACATTTTCTTAATAGGACTCTGAGAATTTCGTCACGATGTTAGTGAGCCCAATTTTTTTTGACTTTGCATTATAGTACTATGAAGATCGTTGTTTTACATTGAATTATCAAGACAAAAAAGAATCGAAATAGAATTTAAAATAGTTCATTATTATTATTATTTTGCAGTTCATTTTGATTAAGTTATCATGAATGACAAACAGTGATAGGATTACCATGTAACACGTTCAAGAAATAAATACATGACAAATAAAATGTAGTTTATTTACAAGTTGTTCAGTAAAAAATTGTTCGTCATCAAATGCAACAACAAAATCAATCAGTTTCGCTTCGGTATTCTTTTGCCGTTAGAACAGAGAATTAGTTATACCACGTGAAATAAATAAAACTTTGTATAAGTCATAAGACTCGCCTAGTCATATTCTCCCAAGTGCCGGGAACCCATCCACAAGCGGACCTGCCCACTACAGGACTTTCTGCCATGTATGTCCGTTCAAATGCAAATCCTCAATTAGTATTTGTGAGCATATGCGACATAGGTACCTGTGTGAATACAACAACCTCAAGCAAGCCAACCTGAGACTCAGAGGACCCGAATCTGGAGACAGGAAGAAGATGAATACTTGTTCAAATCAGTGTGTGTTGTGCGCGCTACTTATAAGTAGTATATGACGCGAGTAAAGGCGTAATGTCTGGCAGCAAAAGATGGGGGAAGATCAAGAAAGGAAGAGCGAGAACACAATGAGATTTGTGTGAAACGCACGAACAGTGAAATGTCAGACCGCTCCGTGACCGTCTCCCATATTGTCTTCCCGACAGTACCGTCCAGTCTTTCGTGTCCCAAATTACAGAGTTAATTGGTAAAATAAGAAAACCATATCGTAAATCGTTAACTTGCAAAATATCGATCCATCATATCGAGCTGGACTGTTCCTGTTGCAAACATCAATCCATTGTCTGACATTTCACTGTTCGTGCGTTTCACACAAATCTCATTGTGTTCTCGCTCTTCCTTTCTTGATCTATACTACTTATAAGTAGCGCGCACAACACACACTGATTTGAACAAGTATTCATCTTCTTCCTGTCTCCAGATTCGGGTCCTCTGAGTCTCAGGTTGGCCAGCTTGAGATTGTTGTATTCACACAGGTACCTATGTCGCATATGCTCACAAATACTAATTGAGGATTTGCATTTGAACGGACATACATGGCAGAAAGTCCTGTAGTGGGCAGGTCCGCTTGTGGATGGGTTCCCGGCACTTGGACGAGGTCCTTGGAGCAGTCAATAATC